GTGTGTGTGTGTGTGTGTGTGTGTGTGTGTGCCAGTCATCTGGCTGAATCAGTACAGCCTCTGACTCTAGAGGGACACCTACTGGTAGAACAAGACTTGACATGCAGGGTTGGTTTTAGATGGATTCTTATGTTCCTGAGTAACTCTGCTCTTCTTTAGCTCATCTTTACAGTCACAGTTTGATGATTTTTGCACAGCTGTTATTGCCAGCCACCCTCATACAGGTCCATTGTCATCAAACACCAGCGGCAGAAGCCAGACATCCAGCCAAGGTGGTTGATTGTCATCCTCCATCTGTCAGCAGCTCAGCCAAACCTCTCAGTCAGTCAGCAGCTGCCAGTCTGAACACAGCTAGTTAGCTCAGCCTCTGGCTCTTTGTCACTTTGTCACCCTCTTCTTCTTTTCGTGCATTTTCTTCTGCCATGTCAGCATTTGCCCTCTTTTTCATCTGTCAGGTTATCAAACAGTTGATGAAGAAGGAGTTCACCCTGGAGTTCTCTCGTGACCGCAAGTCCATGTCTGTCTACTGCACCCCTGTCAAGCCCGGGTCCCAGAGCAAGATGTTCATCAAGGCACGGCTGAATAACACGAACTCAAATAATCACAAATTTCATTTCATTTGAACCATTTTTTTAATGTTCTTCTTTTGCCAATTGCATTGTGTCCCCTCAGGGTGCGCCCGAGAGTGTGATAGAGCGGTGCGAGTACGTACGGGTGGGAAACAGAAAAGTGACGCTGACACCAGCCGTGCGCGACCAGCTCCTGTCTAAGATCAGAGAATGGGGGACGGGCAAGGACACCCTGCGCTGCCTGGCGCTGGCTACGCACGATACTCCGCCACGCAAGGAAAACATGGAGCTGGAGAATTCCAGCAAGTTTGCAGAATATGAGGTTCGCCACAAGATTTCTCTATCCAAACATCACAGCTTAGAAGTCCTTTTGTTCCCACATTGAATCGAAATAGGCTTTGTTAAGTTTAATGAGACGACTGGGTACTAGTTTGCTTAGTAGTAGTTTGTACTTTCTACACTTTGGTCTTCGCTCCAATAGTTTCTTTGTTCTTTAGGAAGAATTTGGATCGGATGTTTTTTGGCAGCAGTAACAGTAGAAAGCTGTTCCTGATGTGGTCCTGCGTAACCTAACCACCCTGATGCTGTTTGTTTTCCGTGTAGCTGGGGCTCACATTTGTTGGCTGTGTGGGCATGCTCGACCCACCCAGGAAGGAAGTGATCGGTTCGGTGAAACTGTGCAACGAGGCAGGTATCCGTGTTATCATGATCACAGGGGACAACAAGGGCACGGCCGTGGCCATCTGCAGACGGATCGGCATCTTTGAAGAGGACGAGGACGTGACGAGAAAGGCCTATACAGGCCGCGAGTTTGACGATCTACCGCAGGAGGTGCAGAGAGACGCCGTCAAACGGGCACGGTGCTTTGCCCGCGTGGAGCCGGCTCACAAGTCCAAGATCGTCGGATACCTGCAGTCGTTTGACGAGATTACAGCCATGGTAAGGAAAACTAACCCCGTACAAGTAACACACCTGCGTGTTCCAGCATCTTCTTCTTTTTGTGGCAGTGCACAGCACTGCTGCCTTTCTCCTTCCTGTAGCCATTCGCTGTTTGAATGACTTGTCAAAGATGCGTGAGGAGAAGCCAGTGAGGCATGACATGTTCCAGGTCTCTGTGAGGCTGCTCTCTCAGACGCCGCTATCACGAGCTGTCATCTCTGGTCTGCTCGGCTGCTTCCTATCTGACATGCGTCTCAGAAGAGAAGTTGATCCGCGGGAGGGAAACGACAATATCACCATTTGCCCGTCAGTCTGAAGCTGCTTTCAGGCCCTGCCTTGACAGATAAATATCGCTTCTGCACAGCTTTAGTTTAATCCCGTCATGGTGTGAAAAGATAATGAGCCTTTGCACAGTGAGTTAGAGTCGTTGCTTGTTAAACTTGGGGCTCCCGAGCGAGTCATCCTTCATGAAAAATGAGTGTGGGCTCGGTATTTGAGAGTGGACTTGTTCTTTTCTGACACACATGTACGGTCACAGTGTTGGACTCTGAGGGCCAAGTTTCAATGCTCAGCTTATATCTCTAAGTAAGGACCATTTAAGGATAAGCAAGTCTTATTGAGAGACGCTTTTTAATAAACAATACTGTTGACGTTTCCTTTAGTGCCCCTCTGTTCTTTGACACGTAATAATCCAGGTATTTCCTCCTGGTTGCAGACAGGTGATGGTGTGAACGATGCCCCGGCCTTGAAGAAGGCAGAGATCGGCATCGCCATGGGATCCGGTACAGCTGTGGCAAAGTCAGCGTCTGAGATGGTGCTGTCTGACGACAACTTCTCCACCATCGTAGCTGCTGTGGAGGAGGGCAGAGCCATCTACAACAACATGAAGCAGTTCATCAGATACCTCATCTCCTCAAACGTGGGAGAAGTCGTGTGGTGAGACAAGAGCGCCGTGAGACGTAGCTGCCGGGCGGGGACTGTCTTTGTGTGCGGCTGACGTTTGTGGGTCTCTCCTGTGTCTGTCTGCAGCATCTTCCTGACAGCCATCCTGGGTCTGCCTGAGGCTTTGATTCCAGTCCAGCTGCTGTGGGTTAACCTGGTGACTGATGGCCTGCCTGCCACCGCCCTGGGCTTCAACCCCCCAGATTTGGACATCATGGATAAACCACCCCGCAACCCTAAGGAGCCACTCATCTCTGGCTGGCTCTTCTTTAGATACCTGGCCATTGGAGGTATTATTCACTCAGACGTGAATAAATTATTGTGCAGTTGTCACTGTGTGGGGTGGTGCGGTGGTTAGCACTGTCACCTCACAGCAAGAAGGTCTTGGGTTTGAATCCAGTCAGGGTTCTTTTAGTCTCTCGCTGCATGGGTACCGGGTACTCCAGCTTCCCTCCACGGTCCAAAGACATGCATGAGTTAACATTAACTGGTGATTCTAAATTGTGACTGGTTCTGTGTCTGTGTGTTAGCCCTGCTGATTGGCTGACAGGGCTGTCTAAAGAGCTTCTGTGCACCTGCGCCCATTTTTTTAAAATCTAATAGCAGAACAACTTGATGCATTTTCTAACACTTTATCGATGGTACTTTAGTTAACGTTGATTTTTCACACTATAAGGTGCACTTAAAATCCTTTAATTTTCTCAAAAATCGTCAGTGCAACTTATGCATGAATTCTGGTTGTGCTCATTGACCTCGAACCGGTTGTATGTCATAAACGGCGCTCAAAACTCTGTCAAAAATGTTTTAGTCCGACTTTGCTAAGCTACGAAGCCGCACAGCGTGATGGGTTGTTGGAACATCACGGCTGTAGTCAGGAGCCTCGCAGAGGAATCTGGGTCCTAAACTCTGTCTGTTTCAGGTCCCAAAGTCAAACGAACACTGCGGCATCACTGAGAGTTAAAAACTGTCTAAATCCTTTCATCTTTAATAAAATCATCAGTGTTGCTGCTTTACCAGGTGTAACAATTAAGTTTAATAACATCCAGGCATCCATGAAAACAGAATTTATTACACTTAACAGAGTTAGAAGTTAGCAGGAAGTTAGCTCGCTAGCTTCCACCTAAACATGATATAGCATGTTCTGACTGAGAGATTTCTGAAAAAATTAAAACGTACAGCTCTGCTATCACTTCCAACATAAATGAAGACAGAAAACTAAACAGCAGTGACGTTTGTAGGGTTACTGAAGTTGGGCTAGCTGGTATATAATGATGTGCTACGTGATCGCTAGCGACACAGCTATGTTAGCATAAACACAGTGAAGCTGGAGGATGAACGCTAACTTTTTTCCACTCGATAAAAGTTAACGTGAAGGTTCCCGATGGTTAGAGACAAATGCAATCGCATGGCAGGATGCTGTAAACCATGTCAAACTCTGGCCCGCAGCCTAATTACATTTGGCCCGCGAAGCCATACCAAATTACTATTAGAGCTGGCCTACTGGTATTATACAGCTAATATATATATATATTGTTTAGTATTAAGCTTTGCTTGTTGCATATTCAGTTTTCCAGCAAAACTTATTTGAGTCCATAAGAAAAGATTCATTCTCATATCTGGAGGAAGATTTTTTTTTTCCAATAAATATTAATGTTAGCCCGCGACTTTGTTCCAGTTTTGAATTTTGGCCCACTGTGTATTTGAGTTTGACACCCCTGCTGTAAACGGATCAAACTTCAGTCAGGAGAACAACTGAGATAATCCATCCACAATACCAGGTTAGTCATTAATATACTGCAACAACATGGGAATAGAACAGCTGCAGAGGATTCAGCATTAATGAATCAATGGTACAGAAGTGGAGGAAGCAAGAAGAATGAGTTGAGGAAAGTTTGACTTATCTGACTGTTTGGTTTCGCTTAATGCGCCTTATGGTAGGAAAAATACAGTAACAAGATTTGAGATGTATTTAGTAAAACGGCGACTGTCAGTAGGCCTAGCATCTTTTTTTTTTTTTTTTTTTCTAATCAATCACTCATGTCAGCATGTTTATTTTCCTGAACAGCTTCTCCTTTGTAAGGTTATTACATTTTATTCTTCGCACACTGAATAACTGTAACCTTACACTTTGTCTGTATAATATTAAATTTGTGACTGTGCGTCTATCAATATCTGGTTTTGTCTCACAGGTAAGAAACGGCAGCTCTTGTTTGTGTGTATAAATATAAATGTATGTCTGTGTTGTCTTGCAGGATATGTGGGTCTGGGAACAGTGAGTGCAGCCACATGGTGGTACCTGTTTGATGAGGAGGGCCCACAAGTGTCTTTCTATCAGCTGGTGAGTTGTAAAACAGTTTATCTGACGTAGCTCCTGCCCTAGGAGAACATGAGCTGCATTGTTTCCTGTTATACTGTTTACCCCACCTCTATGCATCCTTTTCATTCGCTGCTATTTGATGCAGTAACGTTTGATGATCCCAGCAGCAGACAGGCATAGAAAGGGAATTAAGATTTCTGTGGATTGATTGCATGCAGAGCTGAAATGAAGCCAGGGTTTGGCAGCTGCCCCCCACCCAATCTGAGCAGAGTCCCATCAAACCAGGTCGCAACACACGATGCACGAGCGCACGCTAACTCCGCCTGTCTCTCTCTTCACAGCGACATTTCATGCAGTGCACTGAGGACAACCCCATGTTCAAAGAAATAGACTGTGAGGTGTTTGAATCTCGCTACCCCACAACCATGGCGCTGTCTGTGCTGGTCACCATCGAAATGTTCAACGCGCTCAACAGGTCAGTCGGCTTCAGAGCTGGTGTCAGAGTAAACGAGCCTTAAATGTCACAAACGTCAGAAATTTACTCAAAGAAAGCGACGCTGTCATTCGACGAGACGGAGCTCCCTTTGAGGAAGAACGATGCGTGCCAGAAAGGCCACGGCCGTCGCAAACATCAGCTGTTCACTGTTTGAACGACTGATTTTTGTTTTTATGTCCTCCACCTGAAGAATGTGCTTAAGCGCACATCTTAAGAAGAGAAATTATACTTTATTGAACGGAGCTATGAAGGGTCATTAGCTCTGTTTTGAAAGAAATGTCCAACTCGACGAGGTCTGATCACCACTTCAGATGGAGTCCAAAGATGGTCCAGCCTAACGCCGGCACATCTGTTCATTTTCATGCAGCTTGCTGGAATATTTTCATCAGTTGTTGTTTTGCAACCTGATCCTGAAATGTTAGCATGTTTCATCTATTCAAACTTCTCCTTACAGTTTGTCTGAGAACCAGTCCCTGCTCAGGATGCCTCCCTGGGTCAATATTTGGTTGCTGGGAGCAATCATCCTCTCCCTCTCCCTCCACTTCTTAATCCTCTACGTCGAGCCTCTGCCAGTGAGTACACAGGACACGCAGCTCTTTGAGCGTTTAAAAAACCCCAAACACTGCATGCTAATAATCCTCAGCACTGTATCGTGGCCCAGATTCACGAGCCGTGTTTTATGAGTCCGATTCTTTTGCCAGTGATGACACAACTTGTCTGTCGTCTGCAAAAAAAGTAGGATGGCCCTGTAGGTGTAATGTAATGCAACAGCCAAATGAAACTATAAGTAGCTAAGTTCATAGCTAGCGTCGTGCAAAAAGCAGATACAGAAATGCTGTGAGTCAGACAGAAGGCGTTACAAAATAAAGGTCTCCATGGCTCCACTGGATTATGTTTTCTTGCAGGCTGATGTCTTTGCATTTTTCAAAATAGTTACACAATATTAAGCTTGCATGTTAGAAAAGGCTTCTGCTGCAGCTTTGTCAACATCATCGTCTGATTTCTCTTGTCCTTCAGCTCATCTTCCAGGTGACCCCTCTGCATTGGTACCAGTGGACTGTGGTCCTGAAGATTTCCTTCCCAGTCATCCTACTGGATGAGGCTTTGAAATATTTATCCAGGAACCATCTGGAAGGTATGTTAAGTCCTACCTGTTTTTAATTTAATAAGCAATTTTTTTCAAATCAATAAATGAATCTAACGATGCTTGTTCTGCTCTTTTTTCCTTCTCTTCTGCATTTCTAAATCAGCCTAAACTCTTTTAATCTCACCTTCTGTAAAAAGGTACCTGACTTTCTTTGTGCTGCTTTCTTCCGTCTCCATTCGAACCTGCCTGCTGTCCGATGGTTACGTGTTCTAAGCCTGTGGGTTTTTGTTTTGGCAGGTGATGAGGAGAAGAAGTATCGGAGGAGATGGCAGCTGAACTAAGACCTCTCCCTCAACACACTCACACAGTTAGACACACAGCTACCCTCTTCCCATTTTTGAGCTAGGAAACGTTTCTCTCCCCTGCCCTCGTTCCCCACTTCTGCATGTCCAACAAACCACCACTAGAAATGAGGGGTGGCTTGCATGAGAATGAGTGTGAGAAAGCGAGAGCGCTTGTGCTCCTGCAAGCATGGCTTTGTGCGAGTGCTGCGTGTGTGTGTGTGTGTGTGTGTGTGTGTGTGTGTGTGTGTGTGTG